GAGCCTGGCCGATCAGGTGACTCGTCTTCTCCCACGCCTCTCTCTGTTCGAGACGACGAGCTGAACGTTCGGACAGTTTCACGCGTCAGGTGACGGTTTGGATCCTGATCAGGTTTTAGATCAGTTAGTGGGACTTTTCCTTCGCTACAGATTCTCTCCAAAGCCGACTCCAACTGTTACTGTGCACTCACCTGTCACCTGTTTCTGTGCAGGTCTTTATGATTTCACGTCTCCGTGTTGTTAAAGTTTGACTTTTCTCTCAAGAAGTAAAAGACGACTTTGTGTCCACGAGATGATTCATTCTGAGAACTTTGGAGGAGAGTCGAATACGCGTCCCAGAGAGCTCTCTGGAAGAACCGTCCAATCAGAGGTGTGGTTGAGGTGAAATGATGGAGGGCCGAGGATCGACCTCTGTGGACATCTCGTCCGTCAGAGCAACAAGAATCAAACTGATCAAGAATTATTTCATGCAGGGGTTTAATAATCTGTCAAAATCAAGCAGTTTAAAAAAAAATAGTGTGTCACTCTGTGGAGGTTTGCAGACCTCCTCGGATAAATTCATCAGATTCAGGCGCCTCCTGCCTCACCGTCACGTAGTTTCACTTTATTTAGAAAAGATGAACTCACTAAACATGTTAACAAGCTCCCAAAAACATCTGCAGACTCACCGCTGACTGAATTTAGCTACAGAGTGAAGCATCTCACTCCTACAGGATCTTTGTTGGGAGCCACAGTATTATTATCATCATTATGCTGCGTGTTACATAGAAGCAAAGGCTGCACCACAATCCAGCTGTGTTCAGTTCAGGAGCAGAGCTTTCTGTGGGAGATGGGAGCTCCCTTTGAGCTGCACAAACCTGTTACATGCACACAAAAGATTTAAACTGAATCATTCCAAACTTTTTATTAGTTAGGATGTAATTAAGGTCTCTCAAACATGATTAATTAATAGTAATAAAAATATAAATAATTATTACTATTATTATTATTATTATTATTCATTTCTGTATTAAAATGACTTTATCATGGTGAAGGTTTCATCTTAATATATGATATGATAATAATTTTCCATTAATAAACTCCACATATAGAGTGACCCCCTTAATTTGCCCAAATTAAGAACCCACACAAACACAGGGAGAACCACGCAGACACAGGGAGAACCACGCAGACACAGGGTGAACCACGCAGACACAGAGAGAACCCACACAGACACAGAGAGAACCCACACAGACACAGGGAGAATCCACACAGACACAGGGAGAACCACACAGACACAGGGAGAACCACAAAGACACAGGGAGAACCACACAGACACAGGGAGAACCCACACAGACACAAGGAGAACCACGCAGACACAGGGAGAACCACGCAGACACAGGGAGAACCCACACAGACACAGGGAGAACCACACAGACACAGGGAGAACCACAAAGACACAGGGAGAACCACACAGACACAGTGAGAACCATGCAGACACAGGGAGAACCCACACAGACACAGGGAGAACCCACACAGACACAAGGAGAACCACGCAGACACAGGCAGAACCACGCAGACACAGGGAGAACCCACACAGACACAAGGAGAACCACGCAGACACAGGGAGAACCACGCAGACACAGGGAGAACCCACACAGACACAGGGAGAACCCACGCAGACACAGGGAGAACCCACACAGACACAGGGAGAACCCACACAGACACAGGGAGAACCACACAGACACAGGGAGAACCACGCAGACACAGGGAGAACCCACAAAGACATGAGGAGAACCCACACAGACACGGGGAGAACATGCAAACTCCACACAGAAAAGCCCGTAACGTAATCCTTGGGGACAATTTAATGCGTCCGTCAAAACATCATACGTCCCCTAAAAGTGCATCATGACAACACTGTAGATCGTTATAGAGACAGACCTTTTTGTTAAACAGTAAGTTGTTAAACAGACGTTATATCACGCTAACTCCATTAAAAAAAACAATAGTTTTACCTTGTAGATCGTTGTTAAACACACTTAATTCAAACTAGACAGGAACAAAATAAAACTCACCAAAAATGTCTTTGTTAGTCTTCGCACTGTTCCAACAGTCACCAACACTGGTTTAGTGGAAATAAATATTTAATTCACCGAGTTAGAGGAGAAAAGAAACGGATTTTGTATCGCAGCTTCACAGGGACTCACAGAGGGACGTCGTTCTCTGCTCAGGACGCCACGCTGTGTTCATGATCTCATATACAGAACCTTTAAAGATTCATGACGTTTTAAGAGACTGTTGTTTTAAAGTGATTGTGAAAAGTGTCTTAAAGCATCATCAGTAAGCGGTGGCCATTTTGTGATTCGTGGCGTTGTAATGAAATCAGGGAGTGTTTGTTGTACAGATGTTTATGTTGATCAGTGATACTGAGTCTGTGATGACATGATGTTTCCAGGAGGCCTGAATATCTGTCTGGTTTAGCTCGCTCAGCTTCAGCCTGATTCAAGACCAGAGAGTCAGAGGAAGGTCCTCACAGATCTGGAGTATCCAACACATCATTCATCTTATTCTGTGTCATCTCTAACCTCTTTAGCCTAGCTTAGCACAACAACTGGACGCAGGAGGAAACTGCTAGCCTCTTGTCTGATTTACATGTTGACTTTGAGTGAGATGCAGCTCACCACAGTCAAACTGAGGCTTCGGTGTGTAGACATCTTTTTTAGGAAATCCCTGTCCAGCATGCATGTAGCGCCCTGTATCCCCATTAACCAGCCAGTCGTTTATTCAGTATTATATATGACTCAATAATCAATAAGAAGCAACGTGACCGTCAAACAAACACAGAAGGATATTTCATGTTCACATCTGAAGAGCCACAGTTTGCTAACGTTAGCATGAAGCTCAAACAGTAAATGGGAGGAAACTAGCGTTATGAAGGCTAACATGCTGCTGCTTTCTGAAAATAAAGGCTTTCCTGCAGGGTTAAATACATTAGCCATTTAGCGTAGCATTTTAGATTACAGGACTGTTCAGTCACAAAGAAAGTGACTCAGCAAAGTTATCAAGTTATGATCTCACAAGAAACCTTTTGGAGCTTTGTACCTTCACACGTGTTTGTGAAACAGGCGGTTCTTTCAGCTTATCATAGTGAGTTATTGTGAGGCTAGTTGGTGAGCTACTGTAGCTGGAGCGCTAACTCCTGACATGCTGTGTCATGGCTGAAACTGTCGCTAGCAAGCCACAATAGCTGGTTAACCAACTGGCAGTGACCAAGCTGGCTAGCTAGCAGCGATTCATTTGAAGGTTTTTATGTTGTTGTGACAGTTTTTCAAACACAAGTCCAGAAGCATTTAATGTGTTTTATCCAGTTAGCCCTGTTTCAGTTCCAGCTAAACATTAACTGTAGATGTTATGATGGTTTGTTAAACTGTTACTGAGACGCACCTTTAGATTTCATCTCTAAACAAACAGTTCTTGCTGACTCATTCTGGCTAGCATGGCGGCTAACCACCGTGTTAGCTAAAGGCTCTGTGTGTGCTAGTTAGCTTAAATGCAACCAAGCGAATGAGCGCAACACCAAACTGTCTTTACTATAAAGTTGTTTCAACATTGTTTTTGAAAGTGAATTAATTCTGAAAACAGTAAAACGCCCTGACAGCTGACGTAGTAAAACAGAACCTGAAGTTTTAATATGAAATCTACCTACAAACAGTAAATTCTCTGTTTCTAATGTGAGTTTGTATTTTAAAGGAACAGTCTGACATTTGGATGCTTTTGTTCTCCAGAGTCTGATCATTCAGACGGATCAGTTTCATCTCTGTGAAAGTCCAGAGATGGGTCCAGGACGTCGTTAGCCTTTAGCTTAGCACTAGAACAGCTAGCCTAGCTTGTAGAGCTCATGGCTAACAGAAGGATTTCACCAAATGTCTGACTGTTTCTTAAAGTTTAAAGATAAAGCTGATTCACTGAAGACGCTGTCGCGGGTGACTTAAGATCTGCTAATTAGCATACTGATTACGGTGTTGAGATTGTTTTATCCTAAATCTAAAATTGTTCTTTATGAGATGAATGTTGTAATGATGTGATCCCGTCTCCTTTCCTTCGGTGAACGCTGTGGGTTCCTGTGGTGTTGATCTGGGTTTGGCGTCATCAGATTGATCTGAATCCTGGATGGTGAAATGTGCAATCTGAAGTTTAATGTGTATTTATTCAACGGACTAAAACTGTTATTAAAGGGGAAAACGTTTTTCTGTAGACTGAAGGTCCTTGTTTATGTTTTATGTAGTTTTATTGTGAAATATGACCTGATGACGATTCATCATTCGGTCCCTGAAGTTTGCTGCTGAGCCTCAGCTGGACCTGCACAACCAGAAGGAAACCAGAAGGAAACCTCAACAATAAACATCTGAGGAGAAACTCAGTTTGGTGTCTCTTCTGTCTCCATCCAGTCAGTGCAAGGCTCATATTTTATACATGTTTAAGGTCAAAGATGCATTTAGGGATCCTTTAGTCAGAAGTGTCCTGAAATGTTCCAACTGACACTAAATATGAGGGCATAATATTTAAAATCAGTGTACTTTAAGACATTGTCATGTCAGTTTGGTTGATTTTATTTGTAAATTAAAATTACGATAATATCAAATATTTTACTTAAGTCAATATTTTGATTATTCTTATTATTGAATAATCTTAATATAATCTAATAATTTCTTTAAAATACCAATATTACTGACATTAAGCTATTTTAATGGAATTCTAGGTAATTAATTAATTACAGGATTTTAACATATTAAGGTGTTTTATTGGATAATAAACTAGAGAACGTTTCCATTATTTTGTCCAGACCTGTTAAATATCTGAATAATATGAACCCCTGAACCTTAAGAACACGTAAACTCGTCATCAGTTTAATGCATTGATCATCCCGACCAGCAGGTGGCGGCACAGAGGCGGACAGGTAAAACTGCCCCATCACACGCGCAGACTGGGTTTTTAAGTTCATCAAGAAACAAAAAGTCTGTAGTTCTGCAGAAATATTATTTTATTTATAAAACTGCTCTTTATTTAACAGGTACACCCCCCCTCCCCCCCCGCACACACACACACCTGTGCAGGGGCCCCGGAGGAGACCAGGTGTATCCAACATTGTATTGAACAGTGAACAGTGAGCGGGTCTCTGTGAGAGGGGACCGGTGGTCGGGAGATCAGACCCGGGAGACGGCGTGTCCTCAGCGGGCAGGGTGCCATGTGGATGCGGGCTGCCGTCCTGCAGGATGCCGAGCCGCCGCACCGCGACAGGCCGGGGAGGAGGTCTGAGCAGCCGGCAGACCTGATCTCTTTCTGCACACTTTGGTTCTTCCTCTCTGGGCCTGGAGCAGCCGGGCAGCCGCTCACCTTCCCCATCTCTGTCGGCGCCTGGCCGTCGGGTCCCCGGCCCCCAGTCCTCAGTCTCCCGCAGGTTCAGCATCTGGACCCGGACCAGGTTAAAGTCAGGAGGGCAGAGGTTCAACACACTGACTGAACGCGTGTGTAAAATACATGAAATAAAAACGGCGGTCCTTCATGTACAGCAGACCTAAGCGGGTTTGGCTGGTGCTGTAGCCGCGGTCTCTGGTTTCATCCTCCGCCTTTGTCCTCATGTTTTCCCCCGGAGTTCCTCCCCCTGCGGCGCTGGGCGGAGTTTCATACCGGACTAGACGCTCCTTTTGCCGGATTCGTTTCGACCTGACTCCCCGGGGTTTAAGGCTGAAAAAAACACACTTTGAAAGTCCCGAAATAATCCAAAAGACCACAGTGGTGTGCAGTAATAACCCGGGTTTCTGTCTGAATCCGAAGGTAAGTAGTTAGTCGTGATTTTAAAGATATTTCTGGGGTTTTCTGGTCGTTTGTCACCGAGTCACCAGAACATTCATGGCGGCTTCGCAGTGAAGGCTTCTGGGCAGCAGCGACTCATGCAGCCCGCTCAGCACCCAAATCATGAAATACAGCAGTTTGGCAGTTAGAGGATTCACACCAGACGAACATGTCGCCTTTTTAAAATTATATTTTTTACAACCAAACACACAGATGTCGACGAATTTTCTCATTTAAGCAGTTTTGCTAAATGATGCGATTATCTGCTACACGTGTCAAATTGAGTGGTTGATTTGTGTTTAAAATGTTTTAGATGTGTTTAGTGTTTGTATTTTCTGCGTCTAACTCGCATTTTACACATTTAACCAAAAAAGGTTAGCGTTAGCTTGTGGCTCGGGTAGCTCTCTGCGTGCCAGCGGAAGCTACGTGGTGACTCCTGCCGGAGGACGGACGCCATTACCGGGGCAGCTGGAGCCTGACGGCCCGCTCAGTTAATTGCGACCCCGATAACGTGACTGCTGTTCGCGCACACCTCAGTACCAAACTGCATTTAGAAATCATAAATCTAATAAACACAGCGACAGACGTTTGTCACACAGAACAGAAATCAATATTCTCTCGAACCGGCGACTGTTTTGGTGAATTCGGCAGGTGAACAGTCACCAAGCAGCACCTGGTTTCACCAAACTTCACTCCCACAGAGGCGGCTGCTCTCTGCCGCCCTCCGTGCGATAGTTCGGGGGAAGCGTGTTCACACACAGAGACAGTTATTAAATTATTATTATTATTAAATCTTATATTTTAAAACTAAAATATGAACTGCGTGATGGTTTGGATTTGTGCCGAGTTAAAGAGTTGCTCGTAAAGACAAAGTAAAGGCTCGTCTATGAGCTTCACGTTTACATGTCCGCACTTCTGACTTAAAGTGACCCATTTTTGAACGGAGTCCGGTGAAACACTCGAGCCGAGTCCAGCCTGCCCTCCGACTGACCCGTGGCGGGGTCACAGCAGAACATAGTTCGGCCGGTAGCTGGGATCCGGTCAGAAGCTAAAATATCTGGGATGTTCTCCGCAAGTGCAGAAATAAAACGCCTAGTCTTTGCCCACAGTTTGACCTTGTCAGCGGGCCGCGGGCACCAGAGCCGGGGAGAGGGTGGCCGGTCGGTCAGGACAGGCCGGGACCAGAGCGCTGTGGGCGGGCAGGAGCTGGCGGATCAGCCGCTGAGAGAAGTGATCAGAGGAAGAAGTAATATTATACTGAAGTAAAAGTACAAACATCATCAATATTCTTCTGCAGAATAATCTATACCTGAGTAATAATTATTGATGGGTTCATGTTGTCTTATATTGATCACTTTATATCCTGCTGGGCAGTTTAATCTGTAATTTCTTTTATTATTTGGACATATTTTGTGTAGAAGTATAAAATACTGGCTAGGAAGGTCGGAACAGCTGGATCCAACACTTGTGATGACATAGTGGCTCCAATTAGGGTTATGAAGAGACAATTGGCTCGCAAGACATCACAAGAGGCTTAAACTTAAACTTACTCACTGCTGCTGCACATTTTTGGGTCATTTTTTAATCAGCAGCTTGTGTTTTTAGCTGAAGTTCCTTCTTCTGGACGATACACATTAGTTTCTGCTATACTTTAATTGCACTGCCTGTTTTCTAAATGTGCATATGAACCTTTCTAAAAGCATTTTCATTTGTTATTTAACTGCAAACTGTTTCAGAATGTTTTTCAACATTAAAAAAGTGGTGGGTACACGTCCCCAGCGTCCCCACAGCAGTACAGGTGTCCCTAATAAAGTGGACACTAGGTGTTGTTTGTTGTCTGCGTTATAAATAAAGTTGTTTTTTGTGTGTGTAGAAGAAGGAGGGGGCGGAGTCTTCTCCGCCAGTCGCTGCAGGATGAACGGCAGCAGCAGCGTCTCCAGAGCTCAGAGCGCCAGGATCAAAAGTGAACCAGGTAACACCAGCCTGCTGTGACATCATCAACACCTGCCGTCACATCTCACCTGTGAGTCCGTTTTCAAGTTTACAATCACCAAAAGAACGTGGTGAAATCTCTGGTTTGTGGATCTGGGTGTCACTGAGATTGCATGACACTGCTGACCCACGACAAACCAACCAATCGTTTCCGTTCAGCAGCTGCTTGTCGTGCTGCATTTGAGCGAGACGCATCTGTAATTCATGCTAACTGTGATATTAGCTGGGATGCTAATTTTAGCTAGCGACAAACAGGCTTAAAACAAAACGTACTTATTGAAAAATGACCAGCCGACTGCTGATGAGCTTTTTCAGCAGCACTGGATAAATTTATACAGAGCAGCGGATACGAGTCGCCTCTGTCCTGATTGACAGGTCGCCAATCAGCTTGTAGCCCCGCCCTAAAGCCTCCCCTTCTTCCTGGTCTCTGTTCCTCTAAATGGGACCATAATTTACTAAATGAACATCATGCTGTGTTGAAGAAGACTTGAAACCAGCGACTGAGACCAGAAACTCATCAGGAAAGTGTTTACTGAGGGAATAAATCAGCTGACAAGTAGAAACATTTTCTCACAGACTTCTATACAATCACACTTCTTTCTGCAGCCGCTGGAGGCGCCCCCTGCTGGCTGCTAGAGAGGACGCAGGTTTAAGTCGCCCCCTGCTGGCTGCTAGAGAGGACGCAGGTTTAAGTCGCCCCCTGCTGGCTGCTAGAGAGGACGCAGGTTTAAGTCGCCCCCTGCTGGCTGCTAGAGAGGACGCAGGTTTAAGTCGCCCCCTGCTGGCTGCTAGAGAGGACGCAGGTTTAAGTCGCCCCCTGCTGGCCGCTAGAGAGGACGCAGGTTTAAGTCGCCCCCTGCTGGCCGCTAGAGAGGACGCAGGTTTAAGTCGCCCCCTGCTGGCCGCTAGAGAGGACGCAGGTTTAAGTCGCCCCCTGCTGGCCGCTAGAGAGGACGCAGGTTTAAGTCGCCCCCTGCTGGCCGCTAGAGAGGACGCAGGTTTAAGTCGCCCCCTGCTGGCCGCTAGAGAGGACGCAGGTTTAAGTCGCCCCCTGCTGGCCGCTAGAGAGGACGCAGGTTTAAGTCGCCCCCTGCTGGCCGCTAGAGAGGACGCAGGTTTAAGTCGCCCCCTGCTGGCCGCTAGAGAGGACGCAGGTTTAAGTCGCCCCCTGCTGGCCGCTAGAGAGGATGCAGGTTTAAGTCGCCCCCTGCTGGCCGCTAGAGAGGACGCAGGTTTAAGTCGCCCCCTGCTGGCCGCTAGAGAGGACGCAGGTTTAAGTCGCCCCCTGCTGGCCGCTAGAGAGGACGCAGGTTTAAGTCGCCCCCTGCTGGCCGCTAGAGAGGACGCAGGTTTAAGGCGCCCCCTGCTGGCCGCTAGAGAGGACGCAGGTTTAAGGCGCCCCCTGCTGGCCGCTAGAGAGGACGCAGGTTTAAGGCGCCCCCTGCTGGCCGCTAGAGAGGACGCAGGTTTAAGGCGCCCCCTGCTGGCCGCTAGAGAGGACGCAGGTTTAAGGCGCCCCCTGCTGGCCGCTAGAGAGGACGCAGGTTTAAGTCGCCCCCTGCTGGCCGCTAGAGAGGACGCAGGTTTAAGTCGCCCCCTGCTGGCCGCTAGAGAGGACGCAGGTTTAAGTCGCCCCCTGCTAGCCGCTGGAGAGGACGCAGGTTTAAGTCGCCCCCTGCTGGCTGCTAGAGAGGACGCAGGTTTAAGTCGCCCCCTGCTGGCCGCTAGAGAGGACGCAGGTTTAAGGGTCACTGTCAGAGCCGGAAGTTTCTGCTTGATAGGAACGGACGTCTCTGCTGAACCTTCTTATGAGCTCTGAGAGCAGAACTGGTTTTTGGATCCGGTGTCTCAAACTGATGAACAGCTGTTGATGAACGGCTAATATTACTTATCGTGTGTGCAGATGACTGGACGAAGGAGGACTGTCTGACTCTGCTGGAGAGGATTCGCAGTGTGCTGCCGGACGGAGACGCCATGAAGTATAAAACCACAGAGTCGCACTTCGACTGGGAGAAAGTTTGTTTCGGCAGCTTCACCGGAGACATGTGTCGCCAGAAGTGGCAGAAAGTCTCGTCTGAGGTACGAACTGTTAACACGGCGACAGATTTTCTTACTTACTTTTACTAACTAACATGAAAGAGCTCTACCTGAAGCTAAAAGGTGAACACTCATTAATTAACTGCTGATGTGTTCACTGACCACAGGACGCCGTCGTGTCTTTGTGTTTCAGGTTCGCAAGTACAGAACGATGACGGAGCTGATCGTAGACGCCACGGAGTTCGTGAAGAATCCGTACAAAGGCAAAAAACTGAAGGTGAGTCAGACTGTGCTGAACGCTGCAGATCCTGGACCTGCAGCTGATCCTGGACCTGCAGCAGGAAATTAAAAATAGTCCAAATGATTGAAATCTCTGCAGACTGATCCCAGATGTGTTTCTGGAGTGGTCTCTGACCTCTGACCCTGACTCCACTTCTCCACAGACTCATCCAGATTTCCCTAAGAAGCCTCTGACTCCGTATTTCCGCTTCTTCATGGAGAAACGAGCCAAATACGCCAAAATCCACCCGGAGATGAGCAACCTGGACCTGACCAAGATCCTGTCCAAGAAGTACAAGGAGCTGCCTGAGAAGAAGAAGGTCAGGGTGGCGCTCTGTAGCTGATTGGCTGAAAACATGTCAGCTGACTTTACAAGTCACAGATGCAGATGATAATATGTGATTCAGATGTTCTTAATAGAAAAGGTCCAAATGAAGTACAGTAAGTCTTAAATCCAGGTTAGCCATGATGATCCAGTTGTTGTTCAGTCCATTATTTTGAAAGCCAGAATCCTAAAACCGGGTCCTTTAAATAAACTGTTCAAAACAACAAAACATGTTTGTCTTCCTGCAGCAAAAGTACATCACAGAGTTTCAGAGAGAGAAAGAAGAGTTTGAGAAGAATATGGCTCGATTCAGGTATGTTCTGTTTACTGACTGTTTACTGACTGTTTACCGTTTACTGACTGTTTACCGTTTACTGACTGTTTACCGTTTACTAACTGTTTACTGTTTACCGTTTACTGACTGTTCACTGACTGTTTACTGTTCACTTACTGTTTACTGACTGTTTACTGTTTACCGTGCACTGACTGTTCACTGACTGTTTACTGTTCACTTACTGTTTACTGACTGTTTACTGTTTACTGACTGTTTACCGTGCACTGACTGTTCACTGACTGTTTACTGTTCACTTACTGTTTACTGACTGTTTACTGTGCACTGACTGTTCACTGACTGTTTACTGTGCACTGACTGTTCACTGACGGGGTACTGTGCACTGACTTTTTTTACTTACTATGTACTGACTGTTTACTGTTCACTTACTGTTCACTGACTGTTTACTGTGCACTAATTGTGCACTGTAACTGCACTGACTGTTCACTGACTTTTTTTACTTACTATGTACTGACTGTTTACCTGACTGTGTACTGTTCACTGACTGTTCACTGACTGTGTACTGTTTACTGACTGTTTACCTGACTGTGTACTGTTCACTGACTGTTCACTGACGGTGTACTGTTCACTGACTGTTCACTGACTTTTTTACTTACTATGTACTGACTGTTTACTGTGTACTGTTCACTGACTGTGTACTGTTCACTGACTGTGTAGTGACTGTGTACTGTTCACTGACTGTGCACTGACTGTACTGACTGTGTGCTGTTCACTGACTGTTCACTGACTGTGTACTGTTCACTGACTGTTCACTGACTGTGTACTGTTCACTGACTGTGAACTGTTCACTGACTGTGTACTGTTCACTGACTGTGTACTGTTCACTGACTGTGAACTGTTCACTGACTGTGTACTGTTCACTGACTGTTCACTGACTGTGTACTGTTCACTGACTGTTCACTGACTGTGTACTGTTCACTGACTGTGTACTGTTCACTGACTGTTCACTGACGGTGTACTGTTCACTGACGGTGTACTGTTCACTGACTGTTCACTGACGGTGTACTGTTCACTGACTGTTCACTGACGGTGTACTGTTCACTGACTTTTTTTACTTACTATGTACTGACTGTTTACCTGACTGTGTGCTGTTTACTGACTGTGTATTGAGTATTGACTGTTTACTACGTGTAAACTACGTGTGGTGTTTGCATTTAGCGTGTGGTGTTAGCATTTAGCGTGTGGTGTTAGCATTTAGCGTGTGGTGTTAGCATTTAGCGTGTGGTGTTAGCATTTAGCGTGTGTTTTTAAGCGTGTGGTGTTAGCATTTAGCGTGTGGTGTTAAGCGTGTGGTGTTAGCATTTAGCGTGTGTTTTTAAGCGTGTGGTGTTAGCATTTAGCGTGTGGTGTTAGCATTCAGCGTGTGTTTAGCGTGTGGTGTTAGCATTTAGCGTGTGGTGTTAGCATTTAGCGTGTGGTGTTAGCATTTAGCGTGTGTTTTTAAGCGTGTGGTGTTAGCATTTAGCGTGTGGTGTTAGCATTCAGCACGTGTTTAGCGTGTGGTGTTAGCATTTAGCGGGTGTTTTTAAGCATGTGGTGTTAGCATTTAGTGGGTGGTGTTAAGCGTGTGGTGTTAGCATTTAGCGTGTGGTGTTAAGCGTGTGGTATTAGCATTTAGCGTGTGGTGTTAAGCGTGTGGTATTAGCATTTAGCGTTTAGCATTTAGCATTTCGCATGGCTAACATCAGCTGACCTGCAGACAGGATCATCCCGAGCTGATGGAAGAGAGGAAGAAGTCCGACCTGCCGGAGAAACCTAAAACTCCTCAGCAGCTGTGGTACAACCATGAGAAGAAGGCCTACATGAAGCTGCACCCAGACGTACGCGCACACAGACATTAAATATATTATTTTATATATAAAATACTTATTTTGAAGAGAGTTTTCCAAAGTGAAACTGTGTTTGGTTTGCAGGTGAGTCAGAAGGAGCTGAAGGAGGCTCTGAGGAGACAGTGGTCCCAGCTGTCTGACAAGAGGAGACTCAAGTGGATCAGCAAGGCTCTGGAGCTCCAGAAAGACTACGAGGTATCAGACCAGACCAGGCTACACTAAACCAGACCAAACCAGACTAGATTTATTAACCTCTGGTCCTATGGATCCACTTGGGACAGGAATATGTTAGAACAGGTGAGACCTGAACGTGTGTGTGTGTGCAGGGCAGCATGCGAGCGTATCATGAAGCTCATCCAGATGTGACGTCTGATGATCACGTTCGGTCCGTCCTCACCAAAGCAGAGAGACAGCTGAAGGACAAGTTTGACGGACGGCCGACAAAACCACCCCCGTAAGTCCTAATGAGCGCTCAGCTGACAAGCGTAATGCTACCGCCATACTGATCAGCTGATGTTCAAGATACTAGTGACGTGCTGCTCGGATTAACAACAGAGTATCAGGATGCTAATGAGCTATTCAACAGGATGCTAACAACCTTATGAGCTAGATTTAAACAAGCTGGTGAAAAAGATATTATAGAGCTGTCAAAAAGTAACAAGTATGCAGACTAAAGATTTGCTAACAAGCAGAATGCAGTCCTGCTAACGGGCAGATGGTAAGTTCTAAAGCTTGATTTACATTCCTGCGTAGGGTCTACGTGTGTAGCTACGCCATAGGCTACGCACGTAGCCATGCATTTATACTTGTGCGTCCGTGTGTCCGTCAGTCAGCAATCACACCCCCAAACGCTAGTCGGCAGCAGCGCTACAGCGTCCACTGTGTTGACTTTAGCCAACAGGCTTAGCCGAGCAGGCTAACTTCTGGTTTAGCGCTCCGCTAACGTGAATGGGGGTAAAATTGTGTGCCTTTTCAAATGTTACCGAGCGCGTGGATCACATTCTGGTCATTTCGCTCGGGTTGTGACGGTCAAATATATCGATCCACCGTGTTACAGCCACCGTTTTGGCCGCTAGTAAAAGTTACTTCAAAGGACGGGCACTTCCTGTCGGCTCGGAGGCGCTGCGAGGCTACCCAGCCGACCAATCGCAGAGCTTACGGTCCGCGTCGACTCGACGTGTAGTTACATTTTTGAGAAGGTGCACGTCTGGCTACGCCGTAGGTGATGGCATAGGGTAGGGCGCTACACAGAGGCCACGCTGTCGATTTGACGTGGAAGTATAAATTGCACTGAAGAAGCTGAAGAACAATGTGTGGTGAGCTACCAGGTTGCTAACGCTTGTGTGTTGGCTAGCAGAAGTGGCTAACGGTTGTGTGTCTCTGGCTAGTAACGGGTACTCGCTGTACTGCGCGGAGCTGATGGTGAACATGAAGGACGTCCCCAGCACAGAGCGGATGGTGCTCTGCAGTAAGCAGTGGAAAATGATGACGCAGAAAGAGAAGGACATGTTTCAGAAACGCTGCGAGCAGGTCGGTATCAGCACGCTAACGCCAAGCTAACGTCACAGCAGCGTTCACACCGTGACGTCTCACTCTTTTCTGTTTCAACAGAGGAAGAAGCAGTACGACATCGACCTGCAGAGGTTTCTGGAGGTACGTTAAGATCCAATCAGATGATTCCTGTTCATATAAACGCAAAGCAGCTTTAAACATTTTCTCCACTGATAATCTGGATTAAACCAGTTCTTCCTGTTGACTGTGAACCTGGAGGGTCTTCGTTAGCAAACAGTCCTTTCATAAAAAGCTCAAACAAATCCATGAAAAATGTGTTTATTATTTGGGCTGAGCTAAAGGTGCGGGGGCGGGGCGGCGGCACGAGTAAAGGAATAACAAACAAAGCGATGACGTACAAAATAAATGTGGTTTTTATTGATGAAGCTGGATTGTGTGTTTTCCAGAGTCTCCCGGAGGAGGAGCGAGACCGGGTCATGACCGAGGAGAAACTGGGCGGGGCCAGACTGGGAGGGGGCGCGGCCTCCAGCCCACACAGAGCCAAGTCTCCGTCCATCAAGGTGTGAACACCTGGAGCCTCAGCTGTGATATCGGGCTGTGTATGTTTTTAGTTGAAATATAAACTTACCTGCGACGTGGCGTTTTTTGTTTTTGTCCCAGGAGCGCCGGGAGGCGGAGGCGGAGCCAGAGCCATGGACACCCGCTGGAGCGGCAAAGGACAAACGTGACGGGAAGAAGACGGCGAAGCTTCCAGAGACGCCGAAAACAGCCGAGGAGATGTGGCAGCACAGCGTGATCGGAGACTACCTGGCCAAATACAGAGTGCGTTTCATCACAAATTACCTGCGAAATTACCAGTGTGGTGTCAGTTTTTCATGTGACATTTTTTCACCATTGGTTGGTCATGTGACCTGCTCCACAGAGCGACCGCAGGAAGGCCCAGGCCGGGATGGAGGCGGCCTGGAAGTCGATGGAGAAGAAGGAGAAGATCCCCTGGATCAAGAAGGCGGCGGAGGACCAGAAGCGTTACGAGGTTCAGTACCAACCTGTGGTCAGTGAGCCACGCCCCCCCCACTGACTCCGCCCACCACCTGCTGACATTGCAGTCACACTGAAACATGCTGATCAATTAATACAGATATGTTTGATTCATTAATGCTGAAGTGCTGTTTCTCTTATTGTACTGATGGTTGTGTCCTGCAGAGGGAGCTGCTAGAGATGAGGGCGCCGCCTGCAGGTCAGAGTCAGAGGAAACCCAAGTTTGACGGAGAACCAAAGAAGCCTCCAGTGTGAGTCTGACAGGAAGTGATGTAATAACCAGAGTTTAACCAGACGCTCCTGCTGATCAATGACTTCACCAGACCAGATGGGGGAGAGACAGAATGCAGATTTCAGTGAAATATATTTTTGAATAAAACCAGCCTCGTAGTAAGCCCCTCCCCCTGCTGTTTCCATCCAATAGGAGCGGGTATCAGATGTTCTCGCAGGAGCTGCTGACCAATGGCGAGCTGAACCACTTCAGCCTGAAGGAGCGGATGGTGGAGATCGGGAAGAGGTGGCACAAACTGACCCAGAGTCAGAAAGACAAGTACAAGAAGCTGGTGGAGGAGCAGCAGGTGGAGTACAAGGCCGAACTGGAGGCCTGGGTCAAGGTAACCTCACATTGTCGCCGCTGCAACCAGAGGTCTGGAGAACAGCATCTGGTTCAACCTGCTCAGGTCACACGTTCTCTGCAGAGAATCATGGGAATCATTAATATTTTAAACCAAGGTGGTCAGTCAGAGGTTTACAGCGACGTTAATAATACATTTAATATATCAAGAACAACACTTGTTTTCTGATAACATTTAGGACAAACACTTCACAACTTTATTTAACAGCAAAGACTTAATGTTAATGAACAGAACTTTCCGCTGAGTCATTGATAGAGATGCTCAGCATTTCTCCAGACCTCTGAGACAATAGGTCGCCTTCTAGCGGCCATGACACAAAGCTGATTGAACACAAAGAAAATGAAATAAAAAGACATGTGACTCTTTCCTTCCTGTCTCCAGTCTCTGTCTCCTCAGGACCGAGCCGTCTACAAGGAATTTTCCACCTCGGTGAGTTGGAATCAGAACAACTTAATATCATTAGTGGTAGGTTAGCTAGGTAGGTTGCTAATTAGCTTATTGCCCAGAGAGCCACCATAAGCTAACAGGACACTTGCTAACATATCGGTAAACTACCAATAATACAGAATGTTTCAGAGACATAATGCTAAGAGTTAAGCTAATGTGCTAAGCTAAATTGCGTTTGGGGTAACACAGACTAAGATAGCATTAAGCTAACAGGCGCTGCAGGTTACTGATAGCTTAATTATCCTCAGTCAGACGTTTCAGTGCGTCAATATGTTTGTTTGTTTGGTTCAGAAACGTCGCAGCACCGCTAAAGTTCGTAGCAGCCCGGGAGCTAAAGTCCGTGTGACAGCAAAGGGGAAGGCGGCGAGTTCAAGAGCTGCGACACAGACTGTCGGGGTTGCCAAGAGGGCCATGGCGTACCGAGCCAAGGTAACACACACTACACAACAACACACAAAGGGACAGTGAACTAAAATAAATATATAACATATAACTGTACCAGACTCATTTCTGAACTTTCTTGCGTTCAATTTACTGATTTGCTTTGCATTGATTGAGACTGTTGAAAGGTTTTGAATACCTCAGTGCGGTCTGTCAGGCTCTGTGTTATAAAGCTGCATCTATGTCGTCTTCCAGCAGGACATGTCTGACTCAGACGAGGAGAAGAGCGACTCGTCTGACTCTGATGAAGATGACGAGACGTCGGGCTCCACAGACAGTGACGATGAGGATGACGAGGTGAAAACGTTTTTACCCTTCAGCAATCATAAAGAAAACCCATTAAAACTCCTCCAGGTTTGATTTATATAAAGACTTGGTCCTTACAGGTCCTCCAAGCTCCCAGTCCTGCAGACGCAGCTAAGCTAATAGCCTAAGCCCCTCCAGGTGGACCACCATAGGACAAGAAAGATTAATGTTTAGATCCCGTTGGAATTGTCCTGAATTACACACATGATGTTTGTCAGTTTAAAAGATAATTTAAGTCGTGGTTGCAGTTTTTCATAAAACTGTACAGTAATATTTAGTTCTGTGTGAAACCGCTCAATGAACTACATCTCTCCTCTCGCACAGTGTACGTCACCAACATGTTAGTGCTGTAATACTAAGCCAACATTCATTGTTGCTACTAGCCAGGCAGCTCAGCTATGTTCCACGCACAGATGTATCTTACCTGATGTGTTTAGTCTAACGACTCCTGGTCCTTTCATCACATTATCTACACATGGAAGCTCTTTGACGTTAGCTTAAGTGACGTTAGCCTTAGTGACGTTAGTTTCAGTGACGTTAGCCTTAGTGACATTAGTTTCAGTGAAGTTTGTTTCAATTACGTTAGCTTCAGTGACGTTAGTCTTAGTGACGTTAGTTTCAGTGAAGTTAGCTTCAATTACGTTAGCTTCAGTGACGTTAGTCTTAGTGACGTTAGTTTCAGTGACGTTAGCCTTAGTGACGTTGGCTTCAGTGAAGTTAGCTTCAATTACGTTAGCTTCAGTGACGTTAGTCTTAGTGACGTTAGTTTCAGTGACGTTAGCCTTAGTGATGTTGGCTTCAGTGACGTTAGTCTTAGTGACGTTAGTCTTAGTGACGTTAGTTTCAGTGACGTTAGCCTTAGTGACGTTGGCTTCAGTGAAGTTTGTTTGTGACGTTAGTTTCAGTGACGTTAGTTTCAGTGACGTTAGCCTTAGTGACGTTGGCTTCAGTGACGTTAGTCTTAGTGACGTTAGTTTCAGTGACGTTAGCCTTAGTGACGTTGGCTTCAGTGAAGTTTGTTTGTGACGTTAGTTTCAGTGACGTTAGTTTCAGTGACGTTAGCCTTAGTGACGTTGGCTTCAGTGACGTTAGTCTTAGTGACGTTAGTTTCAGTGACGTTAGCCTTAGTGACGTTGGCTTCAGTGAAGTTTGTTTGTGACGTTAGTTTCAGTGACGTTAGCCTTAGTGACGTTGGCTTCAATGAAGTTTGTTTGTGACGTTAGTCTTAGTGACGTTAGTTTCAGTGACGTTAGTTTCAGTGACGTTAGCCTTAGTGACGTTGGCTTCAATGAAGTTTGTTTGTGACGTTAGTCTTAGTGACGTTAGTTTCAGTGACGTTAGCCTTAGTAAAGTTTGTTTCAATTATGTCAGCTTCAGTGACGTTAGCTTCAGTGACCAGCTATGTAGCCATGTTCCATGCTGAAATGTATCTCACCTTTTGTGTGTAATCCAGTGACTGTGGGTCCTTTTATCACATCATCCTCTCATGTCAGTTTTTTGACAATAGCTTCAGTAACGTTAGCTTAAGTTGAGAGAAAAAGTTACTTCACATACGCAACTTTTAGGTTTGTGTTCTTTTATATTAGAACAGTTTTACATCAAACTGCAAATTTTTTGACTTTGAAGTGTACATTTTAAATTGATAAACAACATATGTGTGATTCAGAGAACAACTTTAACGGCATCTAAAAATTGTTGTCTCTTGCCGTTGGCTACCGTATGTATATTTTCCTAAGGTCCCATGGTGGTCCACCAGAAGGGGCGGGACTTAGGCTCTCTATTAACTGTGCCCCCGAATCACAGCGGCGACAACATGTAAATTAAACCTCTTCCTGTTTTGTTATTTCGTCAGAACGACGACGATGACGACGAGGATGATGAGGACGATGAAGATCAGAGCTCCTCTGAGGATTCCAGTGACTCGGACTCGGACTAGCTCCGCACCTTCCACCTCATTGGAGAGGACAGGCTGTGCAGGCCACGCCTCCTCAGTGCCAATCATCCCGGCGGACCAATGAGAAGTGGTGTCGTCGGCATACTGCGGACATGCTGGCCCCTCCCACCTCCCTGTGAAGGGGCGGAGCCTGACGGAGAGTTTTGTTACCTGTGTGTTTGTTTCTGTTTTTTATCGAGTGTTGGTTTTTATCTGCCGGACGTTTCAGACAGGTTTGTTTTATTTCTTGAGCGATGGCGAGGGCCAGGTTTGTACAGTTTGACAGGCAGGAGGGGCGGAGCCTATTGGTTGTCGTTAGTTACCGCTGAGGGAGGAGCCAGTGTTCAGCCTCCAATCAGCCGCCAGCCTGAGAAAATTAACAAATAAATGCACTTTTTTCTCAAGTCTGTCTTCTGAATTCATTTAAACACTGATGTCACAGCGACAGGTGACAACAGTGAAAGCATGACACTGAGGACGTTTACTAATTGAAATATACAGCATACAAGAATCCTATTTAAGGGTGGTGTTTTGCTTTTTTGACACATCCCATAATTACTACAGGTTTATTTCTTGCAACAAATACAGTAACTCAAACACAGGTTTTATAGACATTTTAATTAATAGATTTATAGAATATAAACAAGCTTCTTTCCTCCAACGTCCAACGCCTGATACACAAATAAATAATCTGACCTCTGACCCCACATCATCATACAGAAGCTGGCTCCTCCCCCAGGCCTTTGGCACACTCCTGTGGACACTCAGAACTACAGTACCCATCAGCCCCTGACCTCACCACAGAAAAAGCTCATTAACTCCACCTGATTTTAGAAAACAGGAACGCCCCACACATGCATCACCCCCCCCCCCCCCCCACCAAAACAAAAGAAAGATATGATGACATCACGGCGTCACGTTAAAGGACTACTTCCCTGCGGACCATGTTCCAAACTAAAAGGTCACACCTGAGCAGGTGAGAGCGGCCCCGGGTATGTGTTCAACTCCTCACATCATGTTTGTGTCTGAAATCACAGAGCTCATGTTCTTGGAGCTGTTTTTAACATGAAGAGGAACTCGCACTCTGCAGTTACACACACTTTTCAAGGCTGATCATTCAGTTTAAGAAATATTTTCTGTCTAAAAGGAAAAGAAATGTTTTCTCCATCAGATGTCACAGAGGGAGAGAACATCTAACAAGCATCAGATTAAATAAATCGGGATTTGTTTTAAAAGTACTCTTAAAGGAAAATTGAACAGAGTTTGGTGGCTGGGTTCTGCTAGGAGGCCTTGATGGTGGATGTTTATAGAAATGAACAGAAGCTCGCTTAAGGAAGGAGATCAATCTGAGAACTTATGATTTGGAAAATGGTCAGAAAGCAGCAGGGCAGTCCTTTAAAAAGCTGCAAAGCCTGATGGGAGTCTGAGTCAACCTACACATTAACGTGTACAGCTGCAACTACACATTTATTAATCTGTTGATGGTCTTTTTGATAAACTTATTATTAAGAGTTTTCAGAGTCCACGGCGATGTCTCGTTTTGTCTGACCAACAGTCCAAAACTATTACTGAGCTAAGAAAGAGGAGAGACGGACACCAGAGGACAAGGAGGTTGAGAGCCTGACTGATTAATAAGGACATCGTGAACAGAGTCATTGATAAAATCATTGGTAGTTGCAGCTGTGATCTGAATATACATTGTCACTCTCAGAGGGCAACACACCTCCGACCCGGACTCGACCCCAGAACCAGGACCCACAGACCTGAAGCAGCCGTGACATCTCTCACTCACACACACACACACACACACACACACACACACACACACACACACAGAGCGTCATAGCGGGGCGTCCAGCAGCTTCTTGTGCAGGTACTGCTTCACCTCCTCGATGCCGTTCAGCTTCTCCAGCTCATGGTACGGCAGCTGAGGGGGGACAAGAAAGACAGCAGGTGAACAGGTGTAGAAACAGAGCAGCATTAGCTACATGGTGAGCAGTAACTGCAGGCAGCACGTCCAAAGTCATGGACTCTGACCGCAGGACGGACTGACTAGCTGACAACATCTAGACCTGGGCATATTGAGTCTGAGCCGGCTGTGTTGTGGCAGTAACCTAAGAACCTGCTGGGGTCTTAGGTTACTGCCAGGTTACTTAAAGACTCAGGAGCAGGGGGGACGGGCGTAGAGAACTGAACCTTGAGCACCTCCTGAACCTGGCTGACAAGAGGTCCACAGAGGCGTCAGAGCTGGAAGGCCCGGGGTAAGACACCAGAGAAGAAGCTCTGAGCGAGCGGTTCCTGGTGGCTGAGGTTCCCCCTGAGAGGCACCAGCAGGACACAGCATCTAAAACATTTAAACATGGACGCTGTGTGGCGGCTGACCTGTAGGATGATGTATCCCAGCAGCCTCAGGTGTCGGTCCCTCATGGCCCGAGAACCAACCAGAACCTCAGAGTTGTGGCAGTAATGCCACTTATCATTGACGGACATGATGACCCTGCAGAGACCAGACACACATGGTGACACATGATGGTCACAGAGAACAGGTTCTGTTGAGAACTGATCAGAACCCGTCTGATCACGTTTACATAAGTTGGACTGACCTCCTGATCTGTCTCTGGTCTGTAAGTGGGTTATCCGCGTCAGGTCTGTCAGGAGCGTGGAGCTGTGGAGGTGATGGGGGCCCTCTGTCGGCCCCGGACCCCTCAGAATATGTCACGTCCTCATAGAACTCCGGCAGCTCACAGTCTGTCCCCTGGCCTCCTGGGGTCCCTGTTCCCCCCTCGTCCTCCAGGATCTTACCGATGGAAAACTGGAAAAGTGAGTCCGGGGCCGCGGCCCCTGCAGGTCCTTGGGTCCCGGGCTGGGCCAGGCTGTCAGAGGGGGGGCTGCTGAGCGTGGAGCTGTCCTGGCTCTCCAGAGAGTGCTCCTTTGCCAGACTGGAGTAGTACTCTGCTGGGGGGACGTAGTAGTGGCCATAGTCCAACGGCCCTCCATTAGTCCCAGGCCGCGGGGGCCCTGAGGCCGCCGTGGCCCCCGCCGTGCCGCGGATGTGGTGGGGGAGGAAGGACCTGGGCTCCATGGCCCCGCCCAGCGCCTCGCCCACCTGACATGGCTGCTCTGCGCCCTCCTCCAGCGTCGCGAAGGGAGAGAACTTCTGGAACTCTGAAGTAACCATGGCAACACTACCATCAGCTGGCTTGGTCGCCACGGTGACGCAGGACGGAGGAATGATGCTGAAGGCGAGACCAGCTCCGGTTCTGATAGGTAGAACCCGACCAGAACTGTCCATCCACAACACAAAGTCTGGGGACGAAGAGATGACAATGACTGCAACATTCAGACTAGAAAAACTGCAGTTTTTAGTGTGTAATACTCCATGTGTAGTACCTGTGTAGTATCCCGGGGCGAGTACTTCATCCTGTTTGTAGTTCTGCTCTCCAACCAGCTGTCGCAGGGCCTCAGCCACCAGACCTTTATAGCTGACCGGACACAAACTGATCAGAACCACTTACAAGTTTACAACAACTGGCCTGAAGAACTAGAATAATTTGAGCTGATGCAGATCCGGTTCTGCTGAATCTCATAATCATCAACATCATCACATGGCTCGGCTAAACAACAGCAGGGCCTGTGTTCGTCCAGGTGTGTCTGTGTTACCTGTACTTGCGGTTGACCTCATCAGCAGTCAGGGCGTGGTCAAACATGAGGACCTTGTGGGCGTCCTGAAGTCGTGGTCCGGTGTACTCGCGGTACTCCAGCTCCACAGCAGCATCCAGCAGGGAGAGGTACCGCCGGACGATCAGAGCGTACGGACTGTCTGCGGGGGGAACACAGAAGACCAACCTTTACATTTGTACTCTCGTCTGGGGAAACCGTTGGTTTCACAATATTTAAGCCTGTCTGAATCAGATCTGGCGCGTTGGGTTTGGTACTGACTGGTGACGTTGCTGATGAAGGCGGAGGAGAAGACTCGGTGCAGCACCAGGCCGGGGAAATGTCCCAGCTGGAACAGAGACATCAGGATGTTGACGGTGGCAAGCGGCGAGCTGAGCGCCTTCAGCTCCACCACCTCCTCCAACCGAGAGAAGAACTGCTGCTCGTTAGACGGCCGGTAACTCATCCTGCTGAACGGGAACACCAGCTTCTGGATCACCTGAGGAGACACACACAAAGACACCTGCAGAGTCCTGTACACAGGTACTGAAGACCACACGAGCACCGTCCAGTCCTCACCTTACTGTCCAGGTACTCGGCCTTCTTCACCAGAAAGTCCGCAATGGTGTCGAGCAGTCGCGTCTCTCTCAGTCGATGGCGAGCAATGTATTTGGCGATCAGCGCCATTGTGTACGGAGTGATGCTGTCCACCTTCTTTGGCAGCTCCTCTGTTTGAGGCAGGTCACAGGGTCAACATGGTCACCACGGTCATCACGCAGCAGGTCACAGGGTCAACAAGGTCACCACGGTCATCACGCAGCAGGTCACAGTCAGTACGGTAAACACGAGGCAGGTCGCAGTCAGTACGGTAAACACGAGGCAGGTCGCAGTCAGTACGGTAAACATGCGGCAGGTCGCAGTCAGTACGGTAAACATGCGGCAGGTCGCAGTCAGTACGGTAAACATGCGGCAGGTCGCAGTCAGTACGGTAAACACGAGGCAGGTCACAGTCAGTACGGTAAACATGCGGCAGGTCGCAGTCAGTACGGTAAACACGAGGCAGGTCACAGTCAGTACGGTAAACATGCGGCAGGTCGCAGTCAGTACGGTAAACATGCGGCAGGTCGCAGTCAGTACGGTAAACACGAGGCAGGTCACAGTCAGTACGGTAAACATGCGGCAGGTCGCAGTCAGTACGGTAAACATGCGGCAGGTCGCAGTCAGTACGGTAAACACGAGGCAGGTCACACGGTTACTGCTCTAATGAACCTCTCTGTCTTTGTTATTAGCACATCAAAAGGTAGTAGCCCTGATCTTTACCTGCCAGGCTGCTGATGAACCTCTCCTGTCTGTTCTGGTAGAACAGGTGAGAGCTAAAGATCAACTCCAGACTCTTGTTACTCGCCTCCCGAGCACACGCCGCCAACATCTCATCCAACAGCGCCATCTCCTGGTCACGAACGCCGCTGACGCTCGCCAGAGTGTGCTTGACCAGACGCAAGATCTTCCTGAAGGACAGAGGAAGAAACAGAGATCAAACTAATTATAAAAGTTTCACAGAAGGACACACAAACATCTTCATGTGTCCTTTCATTAGAAAACTGAACCTTCATTTAACATGTTCAGGGATTTGTCCTTGAATAAAAGGCCCTGCTTTATAATTAAGAGCAGCATGAGAGCCATTTCTGAACGCTCACCTGTTGGCGAGCAGCTGTTCAGGGTTTGGAGGTGCGTTGTTAGTGGCGGCAGCGTTAGCGCCCCCTGCAGTAGCGGCAGGTTCCTGCGGCTGCAGCGAGCGCCACTTGAGTCTGTAGTACGACAGCAGCAGGAAGAGCGTCTGCGGGTGCCGCTCTCTCTCCAGGTTCTTCTCCAGGCCGGCCAGGCAGGCTTCGGTCAGCGGGTGCTGGCTGCCCGGGTGGAGCTTCATGCTGGAGCTGAACACCATGGACACGTCCTTCTGGTTAAACTGGTTCAGCCTGGACTGAGACTCCGCCTCCAACACCTGAACCACCTGAGAGTCACTGGGAAGACCTGAAGAGACGCCACACAGACATCAGAACACCTGAAGGTAAAGTTAACAGCTGATCACTGATCTCTAGCGGCTTCCTGTGTGACTCACCAAGCGCCGCCACGGCGTACAGGCAGTTGACGATGCTGAAGTTGTCGAACTTGGCGCAGTCGTTGACGATGGCGTTACAGAGCGTCTGGAAGTCCTGCTGCTCCAGGATCTGACGTCCGTCCCCGCCCTCTGCTGCTCCTCCTGCAGCCTCTGCGTCGGCGGCGTCCCCTCTGAATCGTGGCGGCGGCGTGGCCTGCAGAAGTTGTCCGATCTTCTGCAAGGCGACGGGGTAGTGGTTGTGGGAGATCTTGGCGGGGTTCTGGGTGACCCAGCGCAGCACCTCGTCAGGACGCCTCGAGCGCTCGATCAGACGCTTCATGGTAAAGAACGTGTCGTAGCTCATCTTCTCGTGGATGAAGTTCCACGTCTTCTTCTTGCTGCCGGTGACGGCGGCCCCTCCAGACGGGGCCCCCCCTCCGTATGTGTGAAAGTGGCCATGGTGCTGGTAGTGGGGGGGAAGCGGGGGCGGAGCCATGTGGGCGGTCTGCGGGTGGGGGTGAGGATGAGGGTGGGGGTGGTAGTGGTGGTGGAAGTGAGCTCCTCGATGGGCGTCGGGACGGCCCTGGTACAGCGGGTAGGTTGGGGGAGGCGGGGCCGGGTGGTGGGGCGCCTCAAGCACGGCCAGCCCCGCCCGTCGCCCCTGTTTAACCCCACCCCCACCTCCTGCCCCTCCTCCTCCTCCCCCCGCAGTGCTGTACAGGCGGGCGGCGTACATGGCAACAGTCTGAGCGGCAGGGCGGAGGGGGCAGGGAGGGAGGCGGCGAGCTCGGCTCAGGAGGCGCCACCCAGTGGACAAACACAGCATAGTCCAACAGCCAGGCCGCCTGGAGGCAACAGGTCAGCACTCCTACACCCGGACGAGGAGAAGAAGTAGTTAGTTACGCTCCCCCCTCACCTGTCCGTCACACATCCGCACGCTCCCCCCTCACCTGTCCGTCACACATCCGCACGCTCCCTCCTCACCTGTCCGTCAAACACACGCACGCTCCCTCTTCACCTGTCACGCTCCCTCCTCACCTGTCCGTCACACATCCGCACGCTCCCCCCTCACCTGTCCGTCAAACACACGCACGCTCCCTCCTCACCTGTCCGTCACACATCCGCACGCTCCCTCCTCACCTGTCCGTCAAACACACGCACGCTCCCTCTTCACCTGTCACGCTCCCTCCTCACCTGTCCCGTCACGCACGCACGCTCCCTCCTCACCTGTCCGTCACACATCCGCACGCTCCCCCCTCACCTGTCCGTCACACATCCGCACGCTCCCTCCTCACCTGTCCGTCAAACACACGCACGCTCCCTCCTCACCTGTCCCGTCACGCACGCACGCTCCCTCCTCACCTGTCTGTCAAACACACGCACGCTCCCTCCTCACCTGTCTGTCAAACACACGCACGCTCCCTCCTCACCTGTCCCGTCACGCACGCACACTCCCTCCTCACCTGTCCGTCAAACACACGCACGCTCCCTCCTCACCTGTCCCGTCACGCACGCACGCTCCCTCCTCACCTGTCTGTCAAACACACGCACGCTCCCTCCTCACCTGTCTGTCAAACACACGCACGCTCCCTCCTCACCTGTCTGTCAAACACACGCACGCTCCCTCCTCACCTGTCTGTCAAACACACGCACGCTCCCTCCTCACCTGTCCGTCACACACGCACGCTCCCTCCTCACCTGTCCGTCACGCACGCACGCTCCCTCCTCACCTGTCCGTCAAACACACGCACGCTTCATCCTCACCTGTCCGTCACACATCCGCACGCTCCCCCCTCACCTGTCCGTCAAACACACGCACGCTCCCTCCTCACCTGTCCGTCACGCACGCACGCTCCCTCCTCACCTGTCCGTCAAACACACGCACGCTTCCTCCACACCTGTCCGTCACACATCCGCACGCTCCCCCCTCACCTGTCCGTCAAACACACGCACGCTCCCTCCTCACCTGTCCGTCACACATCCGCACGCTCCCTCCTCACCTGTCCGTCAAACACACGCACGCTCCCTCTTCACCTGTCACGCTCCCTCCTCACCTGTCCGTCACACATCCGCACGCTCCCCCCTCACCTGTCCGTCAAACACACGCACGCTCCCTCCTCACCTGTCCGTCACACATCCGCACGCTCCCTCCTCACCTGTCCGTCAAACACACGCACGCTCCCTCTTCACCTGTCACGCTCCCTCCTCACCTGTCCCGTCACGCACGCACGCTCCCTCCTCACCTGTCCGTCACACATCCGCACGCTCCCCCCTCACCTGTCCGTCACACATCCGCACGCTCCCTCCTCACCTGTCCGTCAAACACACGCACGCTCCCTCCTCACCTGTCCCGTCACGCACGCACGCTCCCTCCTCACCTGTCTGTCAAACACACGCACGCTCCCTCCTCACCTGTCTGTCAAACACACGCACGCTCCCTCCTCACCTGTCCCGTCACGCACGCACACTCCCTCCTCACCTGTCCGTCAAACACACGCACGCTCCCTCCTCACCTGTCCCGTCACGCACGCACGCTCCCTCCTCACCTGTCTGTCAAACACACGCACGCTCCCTCCTCACCTGTCCCGTCACGCACGCACGCTCCCTCCTCACCTGTCTGTCAAACACACGCACGCTCCCTCCTCACCTGTCTGTCAAACACACGCACGCTCCCTCCTCACCTGTCCCTCACGCACGCACACTCCCTCCTCACCTGTCCGTCAAACACCGCACGCTCCCTCCTCACCTGTCCGTCACACACGCACGCTCCCTCCTCACCTGTCCGTCACGCACGCACGCTCCCTCCTCACCTGTCCGTCAAACACACGCACGCTTCATCCTCACCTGTCCGTCACACATCCGCACGCTCCCTCCCTCACCTGTCCGTCAAACACACGCACGCTCCCTCCTCACCTGTCCGTCACGCACGCACGCTCCCTCCTCACCTGTCCGTCAAACACACGCACGCTTCCTCCACACCTGTCCGTCACACATCCGCACGCTCCCCCCTCACCTGTCCGTCAAACACACGCACGCTCCCTCCTCACCTGTCCGTCACCATCCGCACGCTCCCTCCTCACCTGTCCGTCAAACACACGCACGCTCCCTCTTCACCTGTCACGCTCCCCCCTCACCTGTCCGTCACACATCCGCACGCTCCCCCCTCACCTGTCCGTCACACATCCGCACGTCACACATCCGCACGCTCCCCCCTCACCTGTCTGTCAAACACACGCACGCTCCCTCCTCACCTGTCCATCAAACACACGCACGCTCCCCCCTCACCTGTCCGTCACACATCCGCACGCTCCCCCTCACCTGTCCGTCAAACACACGCACGCTCCCTCCTCACCTGTCCGTCAAACACACGCACGCTCCCTCCTCACCTGTCTGTCAAACACACCACGCTCCCTCCTCACCTGTCTGTCAACACACGCACGCTCCCCCTCACCTGTCCGTCACACATCCGCACGCTCCCCCTCACCTGTCCGTCACACTCCGCACGCCCCTCCTCACCTGTCCGTCAAACACACGCACGCTCCCTCCTCACCTGTCCGTCAAACACACGCACGCTCCCTCCTCACCTGTCCGTCAACACGCACGCTCCCTCCTCACCTGTCCGTCACGCACGCACGCTCCCTCCTCACCTGTCCGTCAAACACACGCACGCTTCCTCCTCACCTGTCCGTCACGCACGCACGCTCCCTCCTCACCTGTCCGTCACGCACGCACGCTCCCTCCTCACCTGTCCGTCACGCACGCACGCTCCCTCCTCACCTGTCCGTCACACACACGCACGCTTCCTCCTCACCTGTCCCGTCACGCACGTACGCTCCCTCCTCACCTGTCCCGTCACGCACGTACGCTCCCTCCTCACTGTCCGTCAAACACACGCTCCCTCCTCACCTGTCCGTCACGCACGCACGCTCCCTCCTCACCTGTCCGTCAAACACACGCACGCTTCCTCCACACCTGTCCCGTCACGCACGCACGCTCCCTCCTCACCTGTCCGTCACACACACGCACGCTCCCTCCTCACCTGTCCGTCACACACACGCACGCTCCCTCCTCACCTGTCCATCACACACACGCACGCTCCCTCCTCACCTGTCCATCCACACACGCACGCTCCCTCCTCACCTGTCCATCACACACGCACGCTCCCTCCTCACCTGTCCATCACACACACGCCGCTCCCTCCTCACCTGTCCATCACACACACGCACGCTCCCTCCTCACCTGTCTGTTACACACGCACGCTCCCTCCTCACCTGTCTGTTACACACGCACGCTCCTCCTCACCTGTCCATCACACACACGCACGCTCCCTCCTCACCTGTCCATCACACACACGCACGCTCCCTCCTCACCTGTCCATCAAACACACGCACGCTTCCTCCTCACCTGTCCCGTCACGCACGCTTCCTCCTCACCTGTCCATCACACACACGCACGCTCCCTCCTCACCTGTCTGTTACACACGCACGCTCCCTCCTCACCTGTCCATCACACACACGCACGCTCCCTCCTCACCTGTCCATCACACACACGCACGCTCCCTCCTCACCTGTCCGTCACACACACGCACGCTCCCTCCTCACCTGTCCATCACACACACGCACGCTCCCTCCTCACCTGTCTGTTACACACGCACGCTCCCTCCTCACCTGTCTGTTACACACGCACGCTCCCCCTCACCTGTCCATCACACACACGCACGCTCCCTCCTCACCTGTCCATCACACACACGCACGCTCCCTCCTCACCTGTCCATCACACACACGCACGCTTCCTCCTCACCTGTCCGTCACACACACGCACGCTTCCTCCTCACCTGTCCATCACACACACGCACGCTTCCTCCTCACCTGTCCGTCACACACACGCACGCTCCCTCCTCACCTGTCCATCACACACACGCACGCTCCCTCCTCACCTGTCTGTTACACACGCACGCTCCCTCCTCACCTGTCTGTTACACACGCACGCTCCCCTCCTCACCTGTCCATCACACACACGCACGCCCTCCTCCCACCTGTCCATCACACACGCACGCTCCCTCCTCACCTGTCTGTTACACACGCACGCTCCCTCCTCACCTGTCCATCACACACACGCACGCTCCCTCCTCACCTGTCCATCACACACACGCACGCTCCCTCCTCACCTGTCCGTCAAACACACGCACGCTCCCTCCTCACCTGTCCATCACACACACGCACGCTCCCTCCTCACCTGTCCGTCAAACACACGCACGCTCCCTCCTCACCTGTCCATCACACACACGCACGCTCCCTCCTCACCTGTCCGTCAAACACACGCACGCTCCCTCCTCACCTGTCCATCACACACACGCACGCTCCCTCCTCACCTGTCCATCACACACACGCACGCTCCCTCCTCACCTGTCTGTTACACACGCACGCTCCCTCCTCACCTGTCTGTTACACACGCACGCTCTCCTCCTCCCTGTCTGTTACACACGCACGCTCCCTCCTCACCTGTCTGTTACACACGCACGCTCCCTCCTCACCTGTCCATCACACACACGCACGCTTCCTCCTCACCTGTCCGTCACACACACGCACGCTCCCTCCTCACCTGTCCATCACACACACGCACGCTCCCTCCTCACCTGTCTGTTACACACGCACGCTCCCTCCTCACCTGTCCATCACACACACGCACGCTCCCTCCTCACCTGTCCATCACACACACGCACGCTCCCTCCTCACCTGTCTGTTACACACGCACGCTCCCTCCTCACCTGTCTGTTACACACGCACGCTCCCTCCTCACCTGTCCATCACACACACGCACGCTCCCTCCTCACCTGTCCATCACACACACGCACGCTCCCTCCTCACC